CTGTGAGTCAAATTGAAATCGGTAAAGTACTAGGTTTTTAAGTTTGATGAGGTTTGTCCTGTAGAGTTCATTAGGGTTATTTTTATCTTCATTATTTATGTCTGCTAAGAACTTGTCATCTTCGGCTTTGCCAAACTTTCCTTGGTGTTGGGTTCCTAGGGTTATCAGATTAAAGATAGGAGGGTCAGAGCATTTTTGTGCTACTGCTCTCAAATACAACCCACCTTCGCCAAACCCCACTGCATGGTAGCCCCGTTGTAATTTCTTGTCTTCAGCGATCATCTTGCAAGCCATGTCGACCAGTTTACTTTTACAAACACTTTTACCAATAAACACACATTTGATTGCGTTCAAAAACCTTTTGGATTTCCACTTTAAACACTTAATGTAAGCAGAAGACAACGATGTTTCACTTTTTATAGTCGTAGTTGCAACTGTTATTTCGTCTGATTCACAAGAATTCATCTTGCCGTTCCACAAAACAACGGGTGTAGGACCAACGCGGAGTTCATCTTCTTTTCCGTAATGACCAACTACCAAAGACAAATTAAACACTAAACATAATATAACAAGAAACATCACGGGATTTGAAACTGAACCTTCCACGGTTAAAGCACGTCACTAACTGTTCTGTTACTGCAGATATTTGTCATTATTGCAAACGTTTGTTTACATTCCATTTATCTAACTTTAAACTCTACGAATATTTGTCATTGGCTTATAGTTGTAAGTATACGTGCTAATAATATATCTTTTTTTAAGAAGACGATTTATTTATATGAATTTTGTACAATAAAAAGTGCCATTATAGATATCGATGAAATCATAAATATTTGTTACGGTTATCTATTTATTAAATAATAACATTATAGCTAATATTAAATCAGATTTTTTACAAATAAAAATACTAGTGATAGTTTAATATTTTTTTTTTTAAATGCAATGCATTTAGTTTGATTACTTATGGTTATGTACTGAAATAATATAAGGCGTTGCTTTGAAACTAAATGTAGTTTTGTTGATCAATAGTTAATGGGTGTACCTTATTTGTTTTACGGATCAATTTCCTTATTTAAATGGGGGAAAACCTTACCAATTCTATTAATATAAACCTTATGAGTCGTCCAGTCAGCTTAATAGTTACTGAAGGTGGTTCTGTATACATTTTAGCAATACTAATGAATTTTGGATCTGTTCCTGGGCGGCCTAGCGTGTTTTTAAATATTGAAAAGTAAATGTGTCCTCGTGTATGATTTATATTTGAGAACGGAACTCATTTATTATTTTTGTCAAGAAAATTAATTAGAAGTGGGGTTGAAAATCCAAACTAGTCATCCACTAAAAATATAGGATTGATCGACGAAAGGTTATATTAACCAAATTTATATAATACAATGAATTTTAAATAAAACTACATATTGTACTAATAGAGTGAACGAAAAATAAGACGTAAATGTTCGGCATAAACAAAAAAAAAGTCAAGCACAAAACATAAAAGACATTTAAAATACACAACATGCATGACTATGCATAGATTTGAAGACGTGACCGACGGGAGTTTACGTCTAGACGTAAAATGTGTTCTACGATTTGTAAATATTTATGAACTTAGACCAACTTCAGAAGAATCAGCAGTGTCCTTAGGAAAACCTGAAGAAGGCTCCATTGTGATCCGAAACTAGTTGTAACACAACCATTTGGATTATCAGTATTACAGGTATTTAAACCACTTTAATGGGCACTATCCTTTAAATAAAGTATTTATATCCTTTAAAACTCGGCATCCTGATGAACCCTCCTTCGGCAAGATGTTTGGCTAAAGGATAATCAAAATGTTTTCTCTGATATTATTTTGATTTTGTTCTTGCGTTCCTGCTGGAATGATATTATAACGTGCCTAGGGTTTTCTAGTCTAGAAGCAGTCTTAGACCGCCCACGATTATTCTTCCAACGAAGGCATGGAGGAATATTCATTCATAGAGTTCCCAGCTCCTCAACGCCACTGGGGTGCTTGTGCTTTGTTTAAAATGTTTTAGCACAGACAATATAATACGGGTTTCCATTGTCTGTGGTTTTAGTAAACCATCTACTGGTTTATTATTCTGTTTGTCACTCTATGTAACGTATGATACACTCACAAAATTTAAAAAAGTTAAACTCTATCTTTTTCTGAATTTATGTCAGTGGCACTCCCAGCAGCCTACAAAACCTATTTAGAGGTATTGCTAAAATTACAGTAGGGGTAGTATTTTTCCTCAACAAATACCAACTAACTGTTGAAAACTATTACTGTACAGGTTTCATATAGTAGGCTATTGTAAACAAATTGTTAATCAGTTGCTATATTTTGCATGTAGACTGAACATTAGCCTTATGGTTACCACTTTTTATCTGTTGACTGCCTCTTGGTTACTAATTTTCAAATTTTATCGTTCAAAGAGTCACCATTACATCCATAATCATGCTCATGAGCCATATTAATGCATTTATAGTCCTTGCAATGTGTTACTATGAAACATCACCCCATTACGACAAAAGACGTAAAAGTAGCTGAATCCAATAGGATCTGATATTGAGTTCTGTATTTACGACATATTCTGTGGAACCTCACAATGCCAAATCTTCTTGCAAGATTGACTGTCGTCATTTTTATTGCCTAAAATAAAACTTTGTTAATTAACATGACACAACATCATTTAACATTCATTTTGTATTTTTATTGTTATTCAGTTAAAAATAAGGTTTAATTATTATCAACATTACATGCATGTAACAGTAACTACTAATTTTAAAGTGTAAAATTATTGCACGAGGCACTGGGTTCCAGTATGAGTTTGGAGAACTTTAATTTTGAGCAAGCAGAAGGTCATTTACAACACCAGAGGCTAATTTGACTGCGGTGGTTTGCAGAACCAATTTACTGCCTTCATTGTGAAAGTGGTTTATTATTTTCATAACTTAGTAAGGACTTTCTTTTTTCGAAGGTTTTTCTCTCTCAGTTTGAGATACGTAAATATATATTATAAAAATCTAATAGTACGAGAAAGTGTTTTAAATATTTATGGATAATATTTTTTTGATTTTGAGCAATATTTATTGTAAACACGTTCATAATCACTTTTGTATAGTTATTTATTTATTTTCAACGGAAAACCCATGACATTGATTCATATACGATAATCAAGGCAAGATTTGTTAATTCTACAAATATTCAACAACAACAAAATGTATTTAAAATAAATTTAATTATATATAACTTTTGTGTATAAATGTATATACTATAAAATGTATATACAATATTTATGTATAATCAATATAAGTTTATATGCAATACTTAAAGGGTTTAATGGTTGTAAATTAAAACAAAGTTTTTTGTTGATAGTTATTTACCCCTACTTTAGGCACTACTAGATTGTTTCAAATGCTACTGGGTGTAACAGTACTTACAAACACATTCTCAAAAAGATTTATGAGTAAATTGCTTAAACTATGTTTTGCAGCAACAGGTCTGTTCCTCTTCCTTTCATAACATTAACCAAATATAAAATTCAATTATAACTTGTTTTTTAATAAAGTAATAAACATATTTCATTCAACCATGCCTCAACAACGCTACAATTTTTTACGTATACAAACAGTTAACTTTGACACATATGTCATTCGGGGATTTAGCTGACATATATGGACGTCACGGGATCAGCTGACATGTATGTGACGTCACTTAATCAGCTGTTTATCTATCCGTCTATCAGCTGTCTATATTGAACGGATTGTCATAGTATATCAATCATAAAGGACACATCGCAGTGTGTATACAACACTGTTAGTGTGCTTTGTACAGTACATTTATGGTTTTTAATAAGTAAATTTGTTTATAAACATAAAACTTAAGTTGGGTTTGAACCCGTTCAAAAGTGTTACAGTAATGTAAACAATAAGTTTATGTCAGATTATTTATTTATAATAACATGTTGCAACCAAATTAGTGACTAGCTGCTGTACCTTTAGTTCGCAACGAGAGGTCACTGAAGAGAAACAACTATTGATCTTTTATCTGTTGCATAAAAAGTTACACAACAGCTTTTTGTTTTAGGAACAAAATTAATGTGATTTGAACTCTTGGTTTAAAAAAGTCTTCTTTTTTTTAAAGCTAGGCTAACTCTTAAAAGGCTAACTAGTAAGAATTATATGAGGTGCCTATGCATATATGAAAATACTGTACAACACGAACTGTTCATATGTTTTGCCCTAACTACTTAAATCGTTGTCAGGAATCTTTATTTATTATGTAATTATCACAGTAAGGAAAAATAAAATAATGGACAACTTGTATTTCGTTTAGTTAGAAAGCCAACCCCTATTATTGTTAGTCAGGTCACAAATTTTAACAATGTAAATAAATCAATAACATATAATACATAACAGTTCTAATTTTTACTTGTTCAATAGTTCATTGTATTTACATTACTTAACACGCTATTTTTTTACTAAAGAAACATAGTTACAGATAATTAAAACAACATTTGAAGCCTAATACGATATTCCTAGCATCCAACCATAGACTATTCTATAAACAGCCGTATTCATAACTGTTATTGATATGGATCTTAATTAAAATAGTTACAAAGCGGAAACAAAAAGTATAATTTGAACGTTTAAAGGAAAATACCGTAGGTCTACTTTCATTTTGTAATTTTTCTTGTACATCATATTTTATACAAAATTCGTTCCAGATGTTACGTTAGAAAGTGTATTTTATACTATCGATGATATTGACAAAGAAAGCACCAAACCTAGAGTTATGTCATTGGCTGTAACTTAGTTTAGTTTTACCTCCCAGATTCTCTTACCAAGTTAGTTCAAGCCCTGTGACATCTCCAGAAGACTTTGACATGTTCTAACTCGTCGTGCGGGCGTTGAATATCACATGAGCTGGAGACAAGTTTTGTCTTCCATGGTCAAATACGCAATGTTGTTTGCGCATCAAAACAGCACGAGAAATGTCTGTTGTGATGTATGTCTGGAAACCCATAATAAGGTCAAAGACTGAGGAAACAAATCTCTTGGTACTCACTCACACGTTGTCATTTTGTGTACACATTTAACTAACGTGGCTGTAGAATAATTAATTTAACTCAAAATTTGTTATTTATCCCTCAAAATTATACCTCAATTATATAATTAGTAAATATTTTTTTAGGAATATATCTTCTATATGGAAGAAGAAAAATACCTAAAAGAATTATTATCCATTTTAAGTCATTTTGATTAATTTAATTCACAGTTTTAGCTCATTGAACAACATAAATAAATATGTTAACTCTTTGAAAAAATAAATATTTTTAAATTAAATTCCAGTTTTTGTATTAACAAATTTCATTTTGGACTTCCCAAGACTATGAACTGCAAATTAAATATAAAAAAAACATTACATTATATTTCAAAAATATTATAACTTTTCAATTCACTGTGTAGTTTAATAATGTACAATGTATTTCTAACTAACAACATATTTGCTATAAAGCAATACATATATGTGAAAGTAATAACAAAATTATTATTCAAAAATAGTTTACGATTGAACAAATATTTAAATACTGTATACTGTATATACATACAGTAATACAGGAAAGTAAGCATCGTGTAATAATCATGCAGCCATCATCCATCTTACAACCTCTCTGTCAAGGTAGAAGACAAGACTGCGTCTGCAGGCAAGAAGCCAGTGAAAAAGTCTGCTGCTGCCAAGCCGAAAGGAGAGAAAAAACCTAGGTGACCGCTGCGAAGAAAACACCCAAGGAGGTAGCCGCAGCCAAACCATCGATGTATAATAACTCTACTATTATACATCGATTATTATACATCGAGTTATTATACATCGATGAGCCAAACCCAGGCCACTAAGGCAGCCAAATCTCCGAAGGCTAAGAAGGTCTTCAAGCCACCGACTAAGAAGCCGAAATTAGCGCAAAAGACCGCTGATGCAAAGCCTTCTTCATATTTGGAGGATAATATTTACCTACCGTTATATTTTGCATAACATACCACCGGATCTTATATCATTTATCGTTACACTGATTCACCTCAATTAACAAAAAATACTTATGTATATTTTCTCATAACTAGTTTGAAGTCTTATAACACAGAGACATTCCTCGTAACCAAAGTTCTCCGAAGAAAATCACGGGAAAGAAAGGTGTGTGCGGCTTTTGTAAGGATGTATCCCTACTATGTGTCTGTAAATAATTAGCGGATAATTTTTTTTACAAAGAAATTTGGGAACGACGGGGACGTATAATTAGTCAAAGATAATAGATGCATACCCCTATGGGCCGATACAAATATAAGTAATTTCGTTTCATTATATTTTATAACATTTTTTATAATAACATCAACATTTTTGTATAATAGATTTTTTTTACAAATACATTTTGCAATCTCACAGGCTGCCTCAATAAAATAAGACGAAGGGCGGAAGAGCTTTGGTTTTCCATTTCCCTGACACAATATATCACTCTGATCATGAACCAAGCTTTCAGGAACCATTTACATGCCGGGAATCTATCATCATTACTTTACTCTGTCAAGCTTTAAATATAAGGTTCATCCGTTCAGTAGTAATCCTTAGGCTGTAGTTTCGACGAATTCCGATATGATAGACGTATTAATAAAATACTCAATACATTTGGAAGGAACAATCTGTATACAGTTCAATTAGGATTTTTTGTGTGCATATTTTTCTGTACCTAATCTTGCATTGGACTATTGGAGTGATATGAAGACGCGTTGGATATTCCAAACTGCATACAATTTGTTTGTACAATTATGTGACCTTAACACTTAAACCATTTATCTAAAATCACGTATCTCCTAAAAGACGATTATATTTGTATTGCCTGGCTTAACATGTAAATACACCAGATTAATTTTATTATAGGGTTTTTCAAGTCAAGCTCGTACCTCCAAAATCCAATTGTATTGAATAATAAAAAAATGAGTTACAATGAGGTTAGAATTTGATTTTCTACTAAGGGGAAGTATGATTTATTTGTGAGGAACACCTCTAAAACTTGTGAGTTCACAATAAGTTAATTAATTATGTTTGTTGATTTAAAACAAACCAACCGCAGGGAATTCAAGTACTAATATTTTAGTATACAACATTTACCAAATGCCAAATTTAAAATTTCCATAACATATAAAATATATTATTATTTTCACTTCGTTCAGAATACGATTGGCTTCATAGGATGTATTGAGGCTCCCAACACAGAAATGTAGGAATGGACAGATATCTCAGGTTTATTCCCCAGAAACCTCAGATATCACACACATTGTGACAAGCGATTTTGTTATTGTGCAATAGGGGATTCATGTAAGAAATGGTCTCTAATAAATTTACTTCTTCCTTTTCGATATAGCTGAAAACACAGCTATGTGCACTTTTTCAGAGGTTTTGGCCTCATGTGAGCGTAGAATCATATTAAACAATTCATTTCTTACTATCATCTTAAAACTATTTCAAGGAATAATAACAGCTCCATCTTCTTCATTGAACATCCTTGTCACTTCCGCGCCAACTCTTTTCTTCTTCCTCTAAATTAGAGAAGAGCAACATTTAGTTTTCCACAAAACATCTTCCACTATTTGCTCCACTGTTTAAGTGCATATGTTAGTAGACAACGTTTAGCTTTTAATATTCATTTGTCAACATTTAGTTGTCAACTTTAGTGCAAACGAGCATTTAATTGATGATAATATTACGGTAGAGGATTATAAATAGTTTAATGTGTGAACAGGCAATTTGTAAGCCAACTGACTTCCTGAATTTTAAACTACAACAAATTCATATTTATTTATAGGCATTTATTTTATTAGTAGCTCTTTCCAATCCACTGATCTGTATGATACAATATTTATAGTTTTGGAATGTATTGACTTCTTGTAAACGTTTACTTTAACATGGTTTTAAAAGCACTCTCCGTTTGAAAGGTGACGGTAGCTTACATTGAAATGCTTTTAACCTGCCTATTACTCATTTAAATTATTAGAAGTATCCAACACAGATACCCTGAGTAACCCAAGTAATGTGTTGGTGTATTCAAAAAGCATAATATAACAGGTTACGAAACTAATTTTGAGCATACTAATAAGTAGAAAAGGTATGCAGGGTGTCCCACGTAAGGTGTCTCAAATTGATTACGGAAAGGCGGCTTGACGTACAATAACGAAATAACATTTTTCCGCTAAATCAAACCCAAGGAATGACGAAAAAATGTTTTAAACTTTTTCCGATACAGAGTGTGCCAAAACTGAGGGTTACTAGCTCAAATCTCGAAATATGTTATGATATACATCATTTTAACTGTATTTAATAGACAAATATTTTGGCGAATCTTTTTATTTTCAAAATGGCGACCGATTTTTTTCGGGAAAAATCAATATGTTTTTAATACTTTGTGTTTCCTATATCAATGCACTTAGCTCTTCTCCGGTTGAATTTTCTTACTCATTATTAAATTAGCTTTACTGTAATATGCTACAAGTAAGGTTTTTTCCAATAATAAAAATCAAAAAAAAATTATTTTAGAAAATTTGCAAATTCCCATTGTTTAGAATTTTTTAATAGAAACATATGTCAAGTGGCACATCATTTTTATAGGGTTAGGTTAGGTTAGGTTAGGTTGTTTAATTCTTAACAACTTTATAATTTACACTTACTTCGTATCTCTTTCAGTTTTTGTGTAAATAGCAAACAACCTAATATTCCTATAGCAATTGTATGTTATGTGGGTTTAACACTAAGGGCCCCATTTCATTTAGTTTTATATATTCTAGGTTAACATTAAAGACAAATAAAACGAAGAAATACATTTTTATTTGACAATATTAGAGTATTTTTTATTTTATTTGGATGTATAATGATGTTAGTATTAGACCTGCCTAGACTTCTCAGGATAGAACAATATTGATTGAATATCAATCTCAGGTGGGGTTTCATGCTGATCATGGGATCTGATAAAATTTAATTAGTTAAAGGTCTAATGGTTTCGTTTTTTAAACTGAATTTGGGGTGGTGAGATTTTTAAAATTAAAACCTTTAAAAACGAAAATATGAACGTAGCTTGATAGTATTTACAAATGTTGATGAACAAAATTCATCTGATAAATAGTCCCGGTTTGATAGTAGGTTTATGGTAATGTTCCAAAATGTCCTTCAAAATAAGTGATGGACAGTACAGTACTGGTTGTATTACATTTTCAATAATGAGTTTGTTCACCATATGAAAAGTTCTTTTAGATGGATAGGAGGCTAATATAAAATGTAGATGTCTCTTACCAATTCATAGAACACTAAAAGTGTGTGTCCAACAATAGTAATCTTCAAAGAGCTTCAAATGTATCTTCACATACAGTATACATTTAAATACATCACATAATCATTGTATTTAGGTTTTTGTTATGGATTTTGAAAAGTATTATATGACATTTAATTTAATTGATTGTATGTAGCTCTCTTTTACATATACGCCTAATAGTTATAAACTTAATTATTGTTAATATGGAATACAATTTTAAATTTGGTGTTTTTTTAAACAGAAATAGAGGTTAAACATTATTATTGTATGCTATTAAAAAATAAATACTATATTAAATATTGCTGATTTTCTGAGGGGTGATGAAACATTCCTAACACTATAGGTTCGGACAACGCAGAATTCAATAATAAAATTAGCAAATAATATATAAATGATGAAGTTACATTAAACATTATATGTTTCTAGTACAATATGTGTAGGAGTCGGCAGATTCTGTTTTTAATCAAACAATAATAAAAGCATTGTTATCGTCATACAGATGTAATTTAATATTTGTATCGTTTAAAAATATGCTTTTGCTTTTGCTTTGTGCAAATTTAGAAATTATTTATGCCATTTAACAATCTTTTGTCTCCACAAATGTAGAGTATTATGGTACTAGCCGGAAACTCTTCTACACAGCGTATTGGAAAAAGCTAAATCACGTAAGATGTGTTCTCAGTTCTCCACATGTTCTACTCTTTACACCCAAAGAATCCTCTATCTGTGATACAGTACACAACGATTTCGTTATGATAGTTTTAACGACACGTGTAGAAAATTTGAGGTACGAGCCTTGGTGAGTGCCTTAAAAACTTAAAAACGAGTGTCGTTAACACTATTTACGCGAGTTGCGTACACTACTTTACCTACGACATTGTTTTAATTACTAAAATTCACTACTTAAGACCTCCAAGTGAGGTTTCGTTTTCGTAAATAATAACCTCCTATTGCCACTGATAGTGATGCAACGAAACATTGTACCAAAAACTGATTCCACTTCTCAACAATTAAATTTGCCTGAACAGCTAAATAGTTGAAGTTTGATTTATCACAATTTTACTTGTTCTCTCTCAAATCTTGAACCTCATTGGTCCATTACCCATGTTAATAGGAGTAAAAATACTGCTATGAAAGTAAACAATGTTGTTATGTGAAACTTTTCAATTGTAAGAACTGAACTAAACGGCTACTTAAAAAAACGGTCGTACATTACGATTGTACCTTCAATTATTAATGTACTAGCTGTGTGCCCGTTCTACGCACGGGGATCTTATAGTAGTCAGTTGAAACCTTCTTATATTAAGATTAAGAACAGCAGTTAGTTTGCATATTTGCAGATATGCTGGCAAAACTATTATATATAAACCTTCGCAAATACAGTATCTGGCAGTTCAAGCCAAAATAAATGCTTCGCAATTAAATGTCACCCGGATCGTTATGGTCCATATGTCCAATGATTAAACTAAAAAATGTTTTATAGATCCATGAAGCGTAGCCCTAAAGTAGGCCTATAATTGAAAGTTACTTTCCACATCGGTTAACTTAAACGTATTTAAAGTACTACCTCAACCTCACCATTTAACACTTTATTCCAGTTGACATTTTCAGTATCAAAGGTGCTCTTGTCCATTCCGTGAAACACTGAGAAATAAGGACATTAATGCGTTACCAACAGACATACACACAACAATCCAAAAAAGGCCACGAACTATTGATACATAAACAATATAAAGGCGTAAACAATTCATGATGGTTTGCCCAACAAATGTTTTACTCAAATAGGTTATCATTTTCTTAGCATACCGGGTAAGCTAAGATTTGGAATCCAGACAGAAAAAGCAAAACTTATACAGAGTTAAGACATCACTTAAATTGAATACGGACGGCTCTAATAAATAAGGTGCAACACCAACGATAACTAATTTGTAAACTACAGTGATGGGTTGGTACCTACGTAAAAATGATTCTAGCAGCTACCAACGGTTCTAAGGAAAAGAACCAGTACCTACGTAAGAACCTACCTAAGAACTATAGTACATCCGACCAATTAAATACATTAATATCTAGTCCCGAGGTTATTGATCTCTTGCTTTTGGATTTTCTCGTAAAAAGTTATAGCGTAAACTTATCGGTGTCAGTTTAAAAAAAAAACAACCTTACCCCAACAACTTTTTGTTAGTTAATAGATTACGCATTCTCTAAACAATGATTAGTGTATCTATTAACATTAGAAGGAAATGTGACGAAAATCACACAATGTTGGGGTTTTGGTCATTTGTAATTATATTTCTTAAGTAGGTAGGCCATGTATTCTATGGAAAAGTACCGATATCAAGGATCGTCGTCAAAAAGGTTGTTATGAATAAATATGTAGGCTTACGTACCCAAGATGTGAGCTATGGGCCTATTGGCTGTATGGTCCAGCGATTGCATCACACGGTGAGTAGAAACAGAAAGTGACACATTGGAAAAGCGAGTTTAGCACTTCCTCTTTTAAACCTCTGTTACAATCACCCACTGCAGTTGTGATATTTTACTTTACACTTTACACAACCGCAGTTGAAGCGCCGTCAATGAGTGGAAACCTTTTTTGTAAGCTATTGGCGACGATCATTTCAGTTTCCAGCCCTATACAACACTGATTCAAGGTACTTCTGGTAGGTAGGTGGTTCAAGGTAGGAGTTTTCTGGTTGTCAAAACTCAAGAAACATTTTATACTCAAAGAATTTCTGGTTCCGATTTGGACGATGTCTAGTTATTTAATTTCATTTACTGTTACACTATTAGACTATATTATTGCATTTGCGATTAATTAAATCCGTTATGTAAAACGTTTTTAATCTCACTTGGTTGGAATTTGCTTTCAAAACGTGATTCGAAATGGTTGCGGTATTTGTAAACAACATTTGTAAACATATCATTGACAGCTAGAAAAAATAATCTTGATCACAACAGCTGTTCGTTATTTCATAGACGATTATGTGATAAAAATTGAACGAAAATTTGACAAAAATCGCACAAAACTGCATTTTTGAATGTCCGTAATTTTATTTACAAAGTAGTGAGGCTATATTTAAATCACTAAAGACACTTTCGCCAATCCAGTGAATACATTAAAATGACTTGGATCTTGATAGGTACTCTGGTTTTCACGGAGAAGATTGCGTAAAATGCCATCCTGAGTGTTACAGACAAAGGGAAAGACAGACAGACAGACAGACAGAAATAGAGATAAGACTCGTTTCTGCTTCTTTAATGTATAAAACGTAAAAATAACCTAAAAGTATATAATTCTGAGCAAAGTACAGACAAAACTCTAATTTTATTTATATAGATTAGTAAATTATAGTATACATTGACTTATAATAATACACCCTGACCATAGAAATTAAATCAAGATTGGATCGACATATTTTTGTCTTATATTTTTGTTTTTCTTCCTGTGTTTTATCATATGTTTTAAAGCTAATATGCACACCTTAAAATATGCATGATGTGAACCTGAGTAAATTTGTGTCACTGAGTAAATTTGAAATTTGTATTAATGTAACACTTAAATAGATAATTTTAAATTCTTAATAATATAAAATAGACTGATTTAATCTGACGAAAATATATTGGTTATGTAACTAGTAAATTACATAACACATTTTATGTAATATATGATGATTGAAGCAAATTTAGCATCTCTTTAGCTGTTAATTTATGATGTAAAATAATTAAATTATCTCGTATACATTAGGATTCTTGCTGGAACATCAAAGTCGTATCAACATGTAAAACTAAATCAATAACGATAGTATAATTGTGGTGTAAAAGGATAAATTATAAAATGTAATTATAACCAATATATAGCATAAGGTTTACCATCATACTTTAAGCCATATCATATGCGTTTTACAAAACATAATTTTAAATGTCTCAACAAATCTAAGATTCAAATAAGTTTATTATCCTTAGTGGTTTTTGTATTTAGTTTTTTTAGGTATTAATTAATTTAATGACATTTTTACTTTATTTTGGTTATAACGTGGACTATGTAATGGTATAATTGTTGAATGAAACCTTTGATTTATAGAAAATTTAATGTTCTTTCCAATGATTTTAACTATAACTCTCTAAAGTAATTGGTTAAGTTTTTATTACATAAATTGTGGAGCAAAGTCTAATAAAATAAGAAAAACACAAAATCCCCCAAAACAGCCAAACGGTCTAAAATCGGACATGGGTTTATAGGAACTTTTTTGTTCCTTTTAGTGAGTAGAACCCACTGGCGAAGTTAACACGGTCAGTAGAAACTATAATTAGTAAATATTTGTTTTTTATTACATCTTCTATATGGAAGAAGAAAAATACCTAAAAGAATTATTATCCATTTAAAGTCATTTTGATTAATTTAATTCACAGTTTTAGCTAATTGAACAAAATAAATAAATATGTTTAACTCTTTAAAAAAAAAATATTTTTAAGTTGAATTCCAGTTTTTGTATTCTCAAATTTAATTTTAGACTTCCCAATCTATGAACTGCAAATTAAATATAAAAAAAAACCTTACATTATATTTCAAATGATTATAACTGTTCAATTCACTGTGTAGTTTAATAATGTACAATATATTTCTAACTAACAACATATTTGTTATAAAGCAATACATATATGTGAAAGTAATAAAAAAATTATTATTAAAAAATAGTTTACGATTGAACAAATATTTAAATACTGTATATATACATACAGTGATACAGGAAAGTAAGCATCGTGTAATAATCATGCAGCCATCATCCATCTTACAACCTCTCTGTCAAGGTAGAAGACAAGACTGCGTCTGCAGGCAAGAAGCCAGTGAAAAAGTCTGCTGCTGCCAAGCCGAAAGGAGAGAAAAAACCTAAGGTGACCGCTGCGAAGAAAACACCCAAGAAGGTAGCCGCAGCCAAACCCAGGCCAGGCTGCCTTAGGCCAAATCTCCGAAGGCTAAGAAGAACTTCAAGCCACCGACCAAGAAGCCGAAATTAGTGAAAAAGCCGCTGCTGCCAAGCCTTCTTCATATTTGGAGGATAATATTTACCTACCGTTATATTTTGCATAACATACCACCGGATCTTATATCATTTATCGTTACACTGATTCACCTCAATTAACAAAACATGCTTATGTATATTTTCTCAAAACTAGTTTGAAGTCTTATAACACAGAGACTTTCCTTGTAACCAAAGTTCACCAGAAATTCTCGGGAATCAAAGGTGTGTGTGACTTTTGTAACAATGTATCTTACTATGAGTCTGTAAATAATTAGCGGATCATTTTTTTCTACAAAGAAATTTGGGAACGATGGGGACGTATAATTAGTCAAAGATAATAGATGCCGATAAAAATATAAGTAATTTTGCTTCATTATATTTTAAAACATTTTTTATAATAACATCAATATTTTTGTATAATAGATTTTTTTACAACAAATACATTTTGCAATCTCACAGGCTGACGCAATAAAATAAGATGAAGGGCGGAAGAGCTTTGGTTTTCCATTTCCCGGACACAATATATCACTCTGATCATGAACCAAGCTTTCAGGAACCATTTACATGCCGGGAATCTATCATCATTACTTTACTCTGACAAGCTTTAAATATAAGGTTCATCCGTTCAGTAGTAATCCTTAGGTTGAAGCTTAGACAAATTCTGAAATGATAGACATATTAATAAAACATTTCGGAAAGAAAAGATTATTGTAAATAGTCCAAATAGGATTTTTTGCGCAGATTTTTTGTATTTAGTCTTTGCATTAGGACCATTGGAGTGATATGAAGACTCGTTGGATATTCCAAACTGCATACAATTTGTTTGTAGAATTATGTGACCTTAACACTTATTCCATTTATCTAAAATCAAGCATCCCTTAAAGGACGATTATTGTCCAGTAAATACAACAGATCAATTTTGTTATAGGTTTTTCGAGTCAAGCCAAGTGAAGCCAATGCCTCCGCGGTCCAATTGTATCGAGTTATTCAGCAATAAAAGAGTTACAATGAGGCATGGTGATGATTTGTCATTGAAGGGCAAATATGATTTATTTGTGAGGAACACTTGTAAATTTTGTAGAGTTCATAATTAATTAATTATGATTGTTGATTTAAAAAACCAACCGCAGGGAATTCAAGCACTAATATTTAAGTATACAATATTAAGGAAAGAATCCAAGTTTAACATTACTATAACATATAAAATATATTATTATTTTCACTTCGTTCAGAATACGATTAGATTCACAGGATGTATTGAGGCTCCCAACACAGAAATGTAGGAATGGACAGATATCTCAGGTTTATTCCCCAGAAACCTCAGATATCACCCACATTGTGACAAGCGATTTTGATATTGTGCAATGGGGATTCATGTAAGAAGTGGTCTCTTATAAATTTACTTCTTCTTATTCGATATAGCTGAAAACACTATGTGCAATTTTTCAGAGATTGTAGCCTCATGTGATCGTAGGATCATATTAAGCAATTCATTTCTTACTATCATCTTAAAACAAGGAATAATAACAGCTCCATCTTCTTCATTGAACATCCTTGTCACTTCCGCGCTAATTCTTTGCTTGTTCCTCTAAATTAGAGAAGAGCAACATTTAGTTTTCCAAAAAACATCTACCACTGTTTAAGTTATGTTAGTAGGAAACTTTTAGCTTTCAATATTTATTTGTCAACATTTAGTTGTCAACTTTAGTGCAAACGAGCATTTAATTGATGATAATATTACGGTAGAGGATAATAAATAGTTTAATGTATGAACAGGCATTTTGTAAGCCAACTGACTTCCTGACTTTTAAACCACAACAAATTCATATTTATTTATAGGCATTGATTTTATTAGTAGCTCTTTCCAATCCACTGATCTGTATGATACAATATTCATACTTTTGGACTGTATTGACCTCTTGTAAACGTTTACTTTAACATGGTTTTAAAAGCACTCTCCGTTTGAAAGGTGGCGGCAGCTTACATTGAAATGCTTTTAACCTGCCTATTATTCATTTAAATGATTAGAAGGATCTAACACAGATACCCTGAGTAACCCAAGTAATGTGTTGGTGTATTCAAAAAGCATAATATAACAGGCTACTAAACTAATTGTGATCATACTAATAAGTAGAAAAGGTATACAGGGTGTCCCACGTAAGGTGTCTCAAATTGATTACGGAAAGGCGGCTTGACGTACAATAACGAAATAACATTTTTTCCGCTAAATCTAACCCAAGGAATGACGAAAAAATATTTTAAACTTTTTCCGATACAGAGTGTGCCAAAACTGAGGGTTATTAGCTCAAATCTCGAAATATGTCATTATAAACATCATTTTAACCGTATTTAATAGACATATATTTTGGCGAATCTTTTTATTTTCAAAATGGCGACCGATTTTTTTCGGGAAAAATCTATATGTTTTTAATACTCTGTGTTTCCTATATCGATGCACTTAGCCCTTCTCCGGTTGAATTCTCTTACTCATTATTAAATTAGCTTTACTGTGATATGCTACAAGTAAGGTTTTTTCAAACCTTTTTTTGTTTTTTTTAAATTTGCAAATGCCCATTTTAAAAACTTTCACATAGCAACATGTGTCAAGTAGCATATTATTTTGTAGGGCTTTGAGTTCTTATCAACTTTATAATTTACACTTACTTCGTATCTCTTTCAGTTTTTGTGTAAATAGCAAAAAACCTAATATTCCTATATAAAATGCATGTTATTTGAGTTTAACACTAATGGCCCCATTTCATTTAGTTTTCTATATTCTAGGTTAACATTAAAGACAAATAAAACGAAGAAATACATTTTTATTTGACAATATTAGAGTATGATGTTGGTATTAGACCTGCCTAGACTTCTCAGGATAGAACAATATTGATTGAATATCGATCTCAGGTGGGGTTTCATGGTGGGATCTGATAAAATTTAATTAGTGAGTGGTGTAATGGTTTCGTTTTTTAAACTGAATTTGGGGTGGTGAGATTTTTAATGTAAAACCTTTAAAAACGAAAATATGAATGTAGCTTGATAGTATTTACAAATTTTGATGAACAAGATTCATCTGAAAGCTAGTCCCGGTTTGATGTTCCAAAATGTCCTTCAAAATAAGTGATGGACAGTACAGTAATGGTTGTATTACATTTTCAATAATGAGTTTGTTCACCATATGAAAAGTTCTTTTAGGTGGATAGTAGGCTAATATAAAATGTAGATGTCTCTTACCAATTTATAGAATTTTCAAATATTAATATCTTCTTGGAATGATCATCTCCACAAAAACTGATCACTAAAAGTGAGCGTCCAACAAAAGTAATCATCAAAGAGCTTCAAATTTATCTGCACATACAGTAGACAGTTAAATAAATCACATAACCATTGTAAGGTTTTTGTTATGGATTTTGAAAAGTATTATATGACATTTAATTTAATTGATTGTATGTAGCTCTCTTTTAAATATACGCCTAATAGTTATAAACTAAATTAATGTTAATATGGAACACAATTTTAAATTTGGTGTTTCTTAAACTGAAATAGAGGTTAAATATTGTTATTGTATGATATTAAAAAATAAATACTATATTAAATATTGCTGATTTTCTGAGGGGTGATGAAACATTCCTAACACTATAGTTTCGAACAACGCAGAATTCAATTATAAAATTAGCAAATAATATATAAATGGTGAATAATGGATGAAGTTAGCCTACATAAAACATTATATGTTTCTAGTACAATATGCGTAGCAGTCGGCAGATTCTGATTTAATCAAACAATAATGAAAGCATTGTTATCGTCATACAGATGTAATTTGGTATTTTTATCGTTTAAAAGTATGCTTTTGCACTACCCTTTATACAAATTTAGAAATTATTTATGCCATTTAACAATCTTTTGTCTCCACAAATGTAGAGTATTATGGTACTAGCCGGAAACTCTTCTATACAGCGTATTGGAAAAAGCTGAATCACGTAAGATGTGTTCTCAGTTCTCCACATGTTCTACTCTTTACACCCAAAGAATCCTCTGTCTGTGATACAGTACACAACGATTTCGTTAAGATAGTTTTAACGACACGTGTAGAAAACTTAAATACTAATGTCGTTAAAACTATTTACGCGAGTTGTGTATACTAATTTACCTACCACCATAGATAAAAGGAGTATAGACATCTACCACAGTGTTTTAATTACTGAATACACTACTCAAAACTTCTAAGAGAGGTTGTGTTTTCGTTTATAACCTCCCAATGTCATTGACAGTGATGCAACGAAACCTTGTACTGTACCATTGACTATTGGATAGTCAAAGCTTGTACAAGACACTAATTGCACCTTTCAACAATTAAATTGGCCTGAACAGCTGATTAGTTTTTCGAATCATTACAATTTTACTTCTTCTCTCTCAAATCTTGAACCTCATTGGTCCGTTACCCGTGTTGTTATGAGTAAAACTATGCTGCTATGAAAGTAAACAATGCTGTTATGTAAAACTTTTGAATTGTAAGAACTAAACTAAACGGCCACTTAAAAAAAAAAAAAAAAAAAAAAACGGTCGTACATTACGATTGTACCTTCAATTATTAATGTATTAGTAAATTAGTATATATTGACTTATAATAATACACCCTGACCATAGAAATTAAATCAAGATTGGATCGACATATTTTTGTCTTATATTTTTGTTTTTCTTCCTGTGTTTTATCATATGTTTTAAAGCTAATATGCACACCTTAAAATATGCATGATGTGAACCTGAGTAAATTTGTGTTACTGAGTAAATTTGAAATTTGTATTAATCTAACACTTAAATAGATAGTTTTAAATTAGTAATAATATAAAATAGATTGATTTTTATCCGACCAAAATATATTGGATATGTAACTAGTTAATCACAACACATTTTATATAATATATGATGATTGAAGCAAATTTAGCATCTCTTTAGCTGTTAATAACTCATTTGTGATATAAAATATTAAATTTTCCTAGTTTCCATTAGGATTTTCGCTGTAACATCAAAGTCGTATCAACATGTAAAACTAAATCAATAACGATAGTATAATTGTGGTGTAAAAGGATAAATTATAAAATGTAATTATAACCAATATATAGTTTAAAGCATAAGGTTTACCATCATACTTCAAGCCATATCATATGCGTTTTACAAAACATAATTTTAAATGTCTCAACAAATCTAAGATTCAAATAAGTTTATTATCCTTAGTGGTTTTTGTATTTAGTTTTTTTTAGGTAGCCCAGATTAGCTTTAGGTTTTATGTGACAAAATTGTTTTTAAACTTGCTACTAGTACCAATAAATCCCCTGTATGAACTGCTTATCAATGAAAAAAGTACATTAAGCAGGATTACATACCATTAGTTAGTTAAAGCATACGGCATTACTCTACAACTTTTGCAACATAGCATTAAAATTCCATAAAATAAAACGCTATTACCCGTACAACATGGGGGATAACTCGTATATGATTTATGAAACAAATACAAGCTCTATCTTAAAAAAAAAGGATATTGAGCCTAAGAGCCTGTTGTTGTACATATTAATCCACAGACTCTTCACATAATAAACTGTCTGCAGTGGTAATGTGATTCATAAATAGAGCAAGAAATTAACAACACTATCTATAAGGTATCGCATTGTATTTTACAATTGAATGATTATAGTGTTCTCTAAATATATTTTCCAATGAGTTTTAGAAAGTACTAGTTTAATTATTTGTTCCCAATAAAGTTAAAAAAGTTTTAAATTAACAATGTCGTTTTGTACTAAAAGTATTTATAATGTAAATAAGGAAAGCACCAAGGCCGAACAGGAAATTGGATTTTCTGCCCTGAGCATAAATTTTCTTTCTTGAGTAGGGTTGAATTTGATTTTGAAACTCTGATAACTACACGTGAAATTACTTTGTTTATGCAAAATGAAAAGTCCTATCTATACTATTATATAAAAATCTAACGGTGTCTGTCTG